ACATGTTTTCTGAAGTGACTGTTCACCTGAGTGTTACTACTAACACTACTCATATGTTAAAACAGATTTAAAAAAAATCTTAAACATCAGAAACAAAGGTTGGAAAGTAATACCAATTTATTTGAATATTCTGATGCCCTGTCCTGTTTTCTTTGGTGAAATGAGCAGTTTTTGCAGCTTTATTTATGAATATATGTTGTCTTTTTATTTTATAGTTGTCTTTCTGTTTCCTGCTTTGTTTCCCATAAAACAAAACAAGTGTTTTATGGTGGTTTGGCAGCCCAACGAAAATGGTCATTTTTACCTACTGATGTGGAGTGTGCATATTTTTTTGTGTGTGTGTGTATATATATATATATATATATATATATATAGATGGCGTCATGGTGGCACAGTGGGTAGCACAATTGCCAATTGCCTCACAGCAAGAAGGTCGTTGGTTCGAGCCTCAGCTGGGTCAGTTGCCATTTCTGTGTGGAGTTTGCATGTTCTCTCTGTGTTCACGGGGAGACCATGCCCCCAGTCCCTGTGTTCTTTCGGGTGGTCCGGTTTACCCCACAAGTCCAAATGTATGTGTGTGAATAAGTGTGTATGGATGTTTCCCAGTGACTGGGTTGCAGCTGGAAGGGCATTTGCTGTGTAAAACATATGCTAGATAAGTTGACGGTTGGGCAATGCAGTGGCGCAGTAGGTAGTGCTGTCACCTCACAGCAAAAAGGTTGCTGGGTCGCTGGTTCGAGCCTTGGCTCAGTTGATGTTTCTGTGTGGAGTTTGCATGTTCTCCCTGTGTTCGCGTGGGTTTCCTTCGGGTGCTTCGGTTTCCTCCACAGTCCAAAGACATGCGGTACAGGTAAATTGGGTAGGCTAAATTGTTCGTAGTGTATAAGTGTGTGTGTGAATGTATGTGTGGATGTTTCCCTGAGATGGGTTGCAGCTAGAAGGGCATCCGCTGTGTAAAAACTTGCTGGATAAGTTGGTGGTTCATTCCGCTGTGGCGACCCCGGATTGATAAAGGGACTAAGCCGACATGAATGAATGAATGAATGAATGAATGAAAGTTGACGGTTCATTTTGTGTGTGTGTATATATATGTATACACACACACACACACACACACACACACACACACACACACACACACACACACATTTAATTATTTCGACCACACTCTTGAATCTGAAATAGATGTCTTCTTTTAGACCCCTTATGTTTGCTATTTTTTCTTGCTTCTATTGAAATGAATCTTTTGAGTTCTGATTTACTTATTGTCTTAATGTTGCATTGTTTTTAATTTGTTGTTTTACTGCTTTCTTTGCTGATCTCATTCTTTTTTCAGTCTCCCTAACGAGTACTGGCACCCATAAAAATCTTACTAGTATCCTTAGCTGGCATGTTCTGAACAAACATTGCAGGATTTTAAAAATCTGGTCTTGCCAAGCTTCAGATGGTGGTGAAATATTTTACTCAACCAAATATATATTCTACCAATGATAGAAAACTACTAGGATGATTAAAGAAAGTACACCCCAAACATGTAGGTCAGAGTACTGAGAGACAGATTTCCATTTAAAGCCTTTTAAGCCTTTGCCCGAACTGGTCTACCTCCCAAAACCTCCTGCTGTTGCATTTCTGGAACATCCTGGATAGGATCGTGCAATGTTTGGGAAGGGATTGGTCAGTTTCCGCCAAGAGTGGTGGCGGATCAGGCTCTGTCTGTTGTGGGGGTTCATTGAGACAACCCTGAGGTGACTGGTATAGCTGCTGCTGTACTGGCTCTGGTTGTGGGGTTGGAAAGCTTAGTCCTATAGTTTAGCTGCCACCATTGGTTCTGTTACCCTTGGGCCTCTTGTTAAAGTAAGGGGAATAGGCACTTTCTGCAATCTACTTGTATGCCAGCAAGACCCATCACTTAACATTTATGTGGTTGAGCCTAACCGACGAACCACTTGGTGAGGTTCAGACCAGAAAGATGCCATTTTACTGCTTCGGTGGGGTCTGCAACCCAACCCCTTCTACATATGAATCTATGCAATGCAATAACAAAAGAATCAGCGTCTAGAGCAGGGGTCACCAATCTCGTTCCTGGAGGGCCGGTGTCCCTACAGGGTTTTGCTCCAACTTGCCTCATCACACCTGCCTGGGTGTTTCAAGTATACCTAAGACCATGATTGGCTCATTTAGGTGTGTTTGATTAGGGTAGTAGCTAAAATCTGCAGGACACTGGCCCTCCAGGAACAAGTTTGGTGACCCCTGGTCTAGAAAATAGGCAACCTCCAAATGGACTGCTCTACTGGCCATACAGGTGAAAATCACACCATAATGTTTTACAAGAGAGCGACCTCTTCTTACTGTGTGTTTTTCACTTGCAAAAGACACTACTTGAAAGATTGCATTGGCATGGGTGAGCCAGTACTTTCTTCCTAGTATAATAATGCGCTCTTGATTGATAGGGGTTCTTATGTTGGGATGAGGTACAATTTGTTTTTGTTATTTTGTTCTGTTGATCATCTGTTCCAGTGCAAAATAAAAATTTAGATACTGAACATAAGTCATTTTGTGTGTTTTCCTTAATTAAGTGACAGTTTGGCAATTAAAAGTCAAAATCCTGGATTTGTAATAACACATTTAGTAGTTTTGATCAGGTCGATTAACAGATTTATACAAAACAAAGTGAAAAATATTTTTCTGATATATTTTTACAGCAGTTTAATTCAGTGGATTTTTTCATTTCAAACATAACGAAAGGGTACATTTGAAGACACAAGGGTCTGTAAAAGAAGAGAAAAATGTGTTGCAGTTTATTACCAGGTTTTTGTACAATAATTTACTACATCAAACCAGGCAATAAATCACTTCAAACTACTAAAAATGTTAATAAAAGTAAACTTTTCAACATCAGAAGTAAAGATTAAGATTAAGTTCAAGTGAAGTTAAGTTTAAGTAAAGATTAAGTTCAAGATCCCAGAAATTATTCTAAAGCATAAATATTAATAATAACAGTTAGTCAATTTATATTCAGTTGAAGTCAGTATTATTAGCCCCCCTGTTTATTTTTCCCCCGTTTTCTGTTTGACAGAAAGATTTTTTTCAACAAATTTCTAAACATAATAGTTTTAATAACTCATCTCTAATAACTGTTTAATTTTATTTTTGCCATGATGACAGTAAATAATATTTTACTAGATATTTTTCAAAACACTTCTATACAGCTAAAAGTGACATCAGGTTTTGAAAGAAATTACAAGTGTTATCAGTTTAAGGTTTTGTACTAAGAGATGTACAAATTTACACATTACTTGTGAAAATAATACCAAATCATAAAAATATGTAATGTTTAGTTATAGTAATGCAAATGTTTAGTTTATTTAAAGTACTAAATTTCAAGTATACTTTTACAGATTGTGTAAGTTCATTGCATGCTTAACTAAGGATATTACAGTGTACTTTATTCGTATTGTATTAAATTAGAGTGTTTTTGAAACCAACAAGCCATGAATTTATTATTTCTGAGTAAAAATACAAATCAAAAATAGTCAAAAATACAAATTTGATTGCACATTTTGTTTAATACAAACTATCCATAGTAAAAATAAATAAATAAAAAAAAGAAAGAAAAGAAAACTGGCAATCTTGGTGAGTCAGACTAAAAGTCACCAGTTCTTGTTCAAAAACACAACCCTGCCGATTATGCCTTGGACAACTTTACAATCTGTATATTTACTACAATCTTACAAAAGTAAACTACTATACTGTATACTTTTGTTTAATAAAAAAACTTAATTGTGGACTATTTAGTAATATTGAGCACTTTTACAATTGTAGTGCACTTTCACTACATCTAGTCCCAAGTGGTATTCATGTAGCACACTTACAAGTGTACTACTAATAGATTATACTTACTATATACCTAAGAATTTACTTCAACATGACAAACATGTGACGAAACAGTGGCGCAGTAGGTAGTGCTGTCGCTTCACAGCAAGATGGTCGCTGGTTCGAGCTGGGTCAGTTGACGTTTCTCTGTGGAGTTTGCATGTTCTCCCTGCGTTCGCGTGAGTTTCCTCTGGGTGCTCCGGTTTCTCTCACAGTCCAAAGACATGCAGTACAGGTGAATTAGGTAGGCTAAATTGTCAGTAGCGTATGATTGTGTGTGAATGTTTCCCAGAGATGGGTTGTGGCTAGAAGGGCATCCGCTGCGTAAAATGCTGGATAAGTTGGTGGTTCATTCCGCTGTGGTGACACCGGAATAATAAAGGGACTAAGCCGAAAAAAAAATTAATAAATGAATGAATGACAAACATGTTTATGCATTACAAAATGAATTTGGTTCAATGGAGGTAGTTGTGTGTGTAACACACTTTTTAGGTTCATAATATGGAACCGTCTAACAAAACATGACATCCTTTTTTTAAGAGATTAAGTTTTAGTAGCAATCATTTTAAATACCTTCGAAAATGTATTTCGTACTTCTAACTACAAAACTACTTTCCAACAAAGTGTGGCTCAATAAATCATGTTCATGTTGATTTTATTCAAAATGCTTTTATTATCATTTTTTTCCAGCTGGTATCTCTTGATATTGGATATGGAAATACAATAATGTGTGCTAATCAATAGATTATACAACATCATCTAAAATATAACATTCATTAATCGAATACACAAAAAATGTGTCATGCTATTAAAATGTTTTTGAACACGTTTTATAGTACATAAATACACACACACTTCTGTTTCAGTAAGATCAGCTATGTGAGTGTGTGTTTTTATTATTGTTGTTATTTTATTATTAATTATTTATTTAAAATGAAGAAAAATATATTAATCTCTAGTTAGGAACGATTAACTTTAAATGTTTGCCCAATTAAGAATAACTAATTTATTTTCATGGAAACGACGTTTGAACATTTCTCAGAAGTTACATCTGAAATCTGCATCAACATTCTATATAACTAAAGTCCTCAGAAAAAATTAATAATAATTTAACTGCAATTTTGAACAAAGTGCTGGAGTCCTGTGCTTCTCAGCACATGCGAACTAGATCGCTTTTTCTACAGCCCACTTTACAGCAGGTGGAAGGCAGCGTTTCGTACACCTCTCTTCTTTCTCGGTCCATTTCTGCAGAGGTTAGTGACTCCACATCAGCCTCGATTTCATAACCTGCATAAAATCGTGCACATTATAGAAATACCGTTCATGCTGAATTTTTAATAGACATTACAATTTCAGAATGACAGTACATTATGTACAGTAGATGGCAGCATAGCCTTCTATACTGCAGTGAAAGAGATAGAAAGAGCGATATTTCGTATTGTTTCATTACATGTGTTTATTTAAATGCATTTTATTTTTACACACAGCATATTTTATTTTAGTTGTAAATAATTTAAGTAAAAAAAGTCCTGGAAGTTTATTTTTTCCCCCAATTTCTGTTTAACGCAGAGATTTTTTTCAGCACATTTCTAAACATAATAGTTTTAATAACTCATTTCTAATAGCTAATTTATTCTTCAACTTTGCCATGATGACAGTAAATAATATTTGACTAGATATTTTTCAAGACACTTCTATACAGCTTAAAGTGACATTTAAAAACTTAAATAGGTTAATTAGGTTAACTAGGCAGGTTAGGGTAATTAGGCAAGTTGTTGTATAACAGTGATTTGTTCTGTAGACTTTTGAAAAAAAGCTTAAAGGGGCTAATAATTTTGTCCTTAAAATGGTGTTTTTAAAAAAATGAAAAACTGCCTTTATTATAGCCAAAATAAAACAAATAAGACTTTCTGCAGAAGAAAAAATATTATCAGACATACAACTTTTAATTATTTTAGTCTATTAAGAAAAAAAAAGTTGAACTGATATTATATTATATTATATTATATTATATTATATTATATTATATTATACAACTTCCGTATTTATTATAAATAACTAGTTGTCATTAATAGCTTGAATTAATGGTTTGAGTTTGTTTTTCTACCAAAAATATAATAGTAGGACTTTGCATGAATAGCAGTGCTCTGATCTCATTTACAATGGGTTGATAATGATGATGATAGATAATCAAAGACAAAATGTATACTGACCATTTACGGGGTCTTCAGTTTGGACCCGCCTCCATCTGGAGCCCCCACACGTGTAGACGACGGCCCGAAAAAACTCACGGCCACAGAGTCGGAGACCTTTCTGTGCCTGAGCCGAATCTGCACATGCAGCAAACACCAACAGCACTGCTAGCAGCATCACCTTCATGACTGGAAAGAGTAAGAAAAGTCTACTGCCCAAACCTTTTGTAAGCTTGTGTTTTCTGACCTCAGAATGTCTTCATTTATATACTACACAAACTGTGATTTATGTGTTATTGACGCACTTCTTTTCTGTGACCTTTTAAATGAGGCAAAATGACCCACAATGCAGAGACTTCCATTTGACAAAATGGGTTTGTTGGTTTTAAATAAACAGATGATGCGCAAATGGTGTATCAAAATACAGCTAATTTAACAAAGTGGCGTGAGGTTTTTGTTTTATTTGCTTCAGCAAAGTGCTCTTTAATGACATTTTAGAGATTCGTGCCCATCAAAGTAAATATGGTAAATATGAGCATGTGTCATAGCAGCATTATGGTGTGACACCAGGATAATGACAGCACTTACTTCCTCCCAAACCTTGTTAATTTGACCTAAAAGGCTAAGCGCCATAATGAACCGTTTATTTCTGTCTGGCAAACACTTTGTTGCCAAGTGTTTCCACACAACATCACTGTTTACAGGACGAAATGTCATACTGTAGTATTTGGGTGTAGGCTTTCACATTTCAGATTTAATTGCAGTCATTCCTAAAGGAAACCTCTCCATGAGTCATCATGAGATTCAGCTTCAACTAATCCTTTTGTGTCATCTTTTTTTATGTAACGTCTCAACCTATTGACTGCTCTTCAACAAGGAGAACTCAATGCAGCGTTTGCTACAAAGATGAAGACGCTTTATAAAGCTGTTTTAGCTGAACAAGTCTATTTGTGAATGGGTGTCTGTAATATTTTCTCCCTGTTGTGTTTCTAAAGCTGTTTTTTTACTTTGACTCTGGTAGATGTTAAAGAGCCCCTATTATACATGAAATAGGGTCATATTTTTGGTTGTAGCGGTCTCCAACAACAGTCTAATACATATGCAAGGTGAAAAACCACTTTTATGGTATTATAATTTGCATTTATTTTTATCCCAGCGACTCCCATATGAATTGTTCAGTGGTTAATTTGATCCCAAACCCCTGCTTAACGCGAAGCTAATCTGCGCTGATTGGACCGATGACAGCCTGCTGCGATTGATCGACACTGACAGCCTTCCGAGCGAGACGTTGGCCGTTTCTCAATTCCAAGAACGCAGAGAACAGACTTGCGTTCTTGTGGAGACCGGTCTTGCCAGGTGTCCTCGGAAGAACGAACTCAGGAGACCGCGAGGGCAGAGAACGCGTCCTTCGAGAAATGGGATGCTGCGTTCTTCCTGATGGTCACATGACCTTCACACGTTTTAAATGGAAATTATTTAAACATTACAGCACTCATTTATTGTTGTCCCCCTTTTCAAAATATATACCTTGCATAAAAACATTATAAATATACTCTGCACAATATAAATAAAACAAATTTTAATATGATTTTCAGCAAACAAACACCCTTAATGTGTTTATTCCTTTATTAAGATATTCATGTTAATGTTTATTTTCACCGTTTCATTTAGGGAAACTCCTGAGGTAAATAAGTGATATCTCTGAGCTTTAATAATAAATCTATATAAAATGCAGCGCTTCCCACCTCCAGTCGCAATGACTTCTGGGACTTCCAGAGCGAGTTCGGTGCTCAAGTCTGCATCAGTGCGTCCTCGATATCAAGATCACATCCGGGTAGTTTCACGCGTCCTCCGTACTTGTGGTCTTGAGTATTGGAACTGAACTTAGGCAGCTGATGATGACGTTGCACGAGAACACGAGGACGCAAGACCACTGAAGAACGCATATTGAGAAACAGCCAGTGTGAAATGCCCAGCAGCTAATCAACAATACAGTGCATACACGCTTCATAGTGTAAGGCACAGGTGTCAAGCTCAGTTCCAAAAGGGCCGCAGCTCTGCACAGTTTAGTTCCAACCCTAATTAAACACACCTGATCAAACTAATTGAGTCCTTCAGGCTTGTTTGAAACCTACAGGTAAGTGTGTTGGAGCAGGGTTGGAACTAAACTGTGCAGGGCTTCGGCCCTCCAGGAATTGAGTTTGACGCCCCTGGTGTAAGGCGTGGATTTTGACTGCCAGTGGGTGAATGTAAATACAGACAATGGACTTGAAAATACATACGACTAACTATTTTATTGAGCAAAAACTCCAAGAACTGGGGAGGAGATCGACACGAGTCTCCTAGCCCGTCACCAGTGGTGGAAAGAGTACTGAAAAATCATACTCAAGTAAAAGCACCATTACTTGCCTAAAAATGTAGTGCGAGTAGAGTAAAAGTATCTGTTGTAAATATTACTCAAAGTATGAGTAAAAAGTAGCCCTTTCAAAAGTACTCAAGAGTAGTGAGTAGTGAGTTTCACACTGTACAAAGCTGATGTGTTTACATGTAATCTGTGGATGTGTGTAAACGTAACATTCTGTAGTGCATTTAGTTATTGCCCAGCAGGCACATAACGTCATAAGATGTTAATATTAGGTTAGGTTTAGCCTGTGATGTCAAGTGACCAAAATTGAATGTCTAGCCAGCATCTAAGGAGAGTTATTTTGATGTCCAATAATGACGGCAAATGACTTTGATATACGGTCAATTTTGGGTTGTTAGAAAGTGAACAAAATCCAAGGTTGAGCTGTAATATCTCATTCCCGCGTGCTGGGTTGTGGAGTCAATTGTCTCAATTTCGGCTCATGTTTGAATTGTCAAAGACATCAAAATATTTGTTATATCACAAATCTTACAGAGACAACATCTTAAAGCAACATCATATTGATGTCAAATACTGACATTTATTCATCAGGTATGACAACCAATATCCATCGTCTGATAGACATCATAATGGTAACGTTCACACCATGTCAAGCTGTTACATCATTAGACGTTGATATTTGCTTGATTTTAGGTTGGACATTGATGTTGGCCTGACGTTGAGTTCTGCAGTCAACATTTGAGTTCTGTTTAATTTCCAAACAAAATGCAATCTTCTTGGACACTTTTAATGCTTCCAAATAGTTTTCTGCAATTAAAAATTGTCCATGTTTTGAGGTAGTTCAGTATGATGCGATTTACCTTCTATGTGTGATTTGACTGGACAGGAATCAAAAGACAACTCAGCTAATCCCCATAGATAAGAAAAAAAGTAGTGACTGCAGGTTGAAGAAAAGTAATGGAGTAAAAGCACTAAAAATGTACTCAAGGGAAAGTAAAAGTGCACATTTTTAAAACTACTTAGAAAATTACAATTTCTAAAAAAAAAATTACTCAATACAGTAATTTGTGTATTTGTAATTAGTTACTTTAAACCACTGCCCATCACACTCTAACTGCTCTTGTTTCAAATACAAACTGAACTTGCTGAACTATTTTAAAACTTGAGCGTTGCATGTGTGTAGGAACAGCTGACTATCCGTAAACAAAGTGGCACTCTTCCCGTTTTCAACATGGCTTTACATGTGATATGAGAATATAAAGAGTTAACCTGATACAGTACACACAGTTACAAGTAACAAAACACAACTAAATATATTATTTGCAAGCTATAGTAAACGAGGCAACAATTTTATTCACACGTACTTACACTTGTGAAATGGAGTAAGAAACTGATCCATGATGCACTGATTCTGACATAGTCCTTTAGATCAGTATTCTTTTCCGATCCTTCCTTTAAACAACAGCCGATGAATTCTCCATTGTAAGCATAGTTTCCAGAAGCACTGCACAAGGCTGGGCTATAATGCTGAGGTATTCTTGCAAAAATAAACCTCAACCACTGACTCTTCACAGTTTCATCTTTGGGTAGAGACTTTTAATAATATCCAGCTGAGCACAGCATGAGTTCATTCAACCGGTGTGTGTATGTGTCTAAGACTTTTGTCTGTGGTAGCGGGCTGTGTAGGTTTCGATCTCCTGGGTTAGCACGCAACTACTGGGCAGGGCTTGTGTTTCGTAGCCACGTCACCATGAAACACTTAATGACTCGTTATCAAGACGACTCATTTGAAGCACTATGAGTCGACTCTTTTATAGATGAATCAACAGTTTTAAACACTGTACACTTGCAGATTTAAGCCTTAGCTGGATACTTCACTTGTCTTAGAGCATACCTGTCAACCCTCCCGTTTTTCCCGGGATTCTCCTGTATTTTACAGTTCTATCCTGCTATCATCCCGTGAAGGTATTTTCCTGTATTTCTCCCGTATTTTTAGTGTTTCTCTGAAGGGTGGCAAGAAACATTAAAGAGCCCCGCCTCCCTATACGCAACCCATACCGCCGAACCACCAGAGGCCGCCCTGTGCCCTTAAATATGAGTCTATTCTCTGTTTTCGCTTTGTTTAGGCACGAAAACCCTTTGAAATAAAAATAAAAAAACAGCGTGATTCCCTTTCCTTTTCATTATAGGTGCCGTCACCCCTCCTATGCAATCCTCAAAACAGTCATATATCTTTACGTGTCTGTCAGCTGACGCGCTCCATAGTGCTAAATACACGCTTTTTCCCAGATTTCTGGACACACGATTTGGCTTTTGGGTGCGTGTTTAAACAGACATATACACATAACTAATAATAATAATATCTAAAGATGTCGATCTTGGTGTTTTTTTTTTTTTTCAAACACAGCTAATTTCGTCTTAAATGAGCATAAAAAGTTAGGAAAACAGTCGAATGCCTTCATTATATTGTGTGCATTTTCAAAGTGACACCTCTGTTACTGAATGTAATCAAACAAAAAAATCTTAATAAATAAGAAATTTATTCTTTGCTCTTTAATCAGAATGTGTAAGTTATACAGTAAAGAAACGCCTAATGAGATTTGATAGCTTGATTTTGTTTCATTATAACAGCTATTCTTTTGAATAAGCTGAACTGTTTGCTAATGTATTTGCTGCTAATGTTTATATCTATTGTTTCTTTTGTAAATAATAATAATAATAAAACCTATTACTGACCATTAAACTGTTTATTTACAATGAAACAGCTCCAAGTGAACAAATTTAGTAATTTGGTGATTTTTTTAACGGAGGAGGGGGGACCCCTTATTATGGTGGGCAAATCCCTTATTTTCACATCCCAATGTTGACAG